TTATACTTTCCTTCCATACTATTTATTTATTTACTTATTATACTATACAAGTTACAACATATATTCTATACACCAATTCATAACGATTTTCGTTCGTACAATTATCAAATTTCTACATATTCATTCATCATTTCATCTTCATTCAAGGAATCAAGTTCTTATATTATCAATTCACAAATGGATCCATAAACATTTGTTGAGGACTTATTCGGTATCGGAAGCGAATCATTTATGATACCGCAAAGTCAATTTCACAATGAATTTATTGGTCTCAATGAAGTACCCATTCTCAAAAATATTCCAGATTAAAATGCACACGAAAATAGTAATCCAATTAATTTGGATGACGTTGAAGTTCCCGAAGTGAAACTGGATGAATTAGATATTTCCGATGTAAGAGAGAAGTGAAAGGGGAAAAAACAAGCAAAATATTGTGATCACTTTAAATTAATTCCAACGGGTGATATGGTCGAAGGAGTTGAAAAGTTTAAAGTAGTATGTAAACACTATCAGATACGATCAGCATGGCAAAAGGGCTTTGGCATCACCTACCTCAACCGTCACTATAAAGCATGTGCGGCCAAACATGATCTTGTTGGTGCCTCTTAAACACAACTACAATTTGGTAGTCTAACCGTTGGTTCTACTTCTACGACACTTTGCACGTGGATATATTCAGAGAAGAAAACTCGAATGGGAATGGTAAAATTCGTTGCTGGTGCTGACTTGCTTATAACAATAGCGAACAACCAACATTTCATCTTCTACATGAAAAAATATCTTTAACCGATGAACGTTGGGATAAGTAGAAACACTCTTCGTTCCGATACAATAGAATATTTCCTCAAAGAAACAATTGATTGGTGTTATATCATTAAATTCGAATTTATGAGAAATGATTAATAAAAGAGGCCATATAGCTACAACTGCACACTACATAGACTCGTTTTGATATTCATAAAAAAATGATTGCTTTTAAAATAATTGAGTTCCCTCACAATGCTAACAATATATTTGATGCTATTATGAGCATTATCAGAGAATATCATTGCAAGAGTAAAATTTGTTTTTTAACATTTGACAGCGCTAGTGTTAATAAGTCAGTTATCGATAAATTGTGTAGGGTATTGCAGTCTGATTTCGGTAGTTATTTATTTCATATTCGTCGTGTGTGTCATATTTTTAATTTAATTGTGCAAGATGATTTGAAATGTTAAGAGTGAAATTCAAAGAATTAGTGATGCACTAATATATATCACGATTTCACCAAGTACAAAACAAGTCTTCGAGGAATTTTGTGTCGAATTCGGGGTGACGAATACAAAAACATTTGTTAGTGAAGTAGGACATAGATAGAACTCTATTTACTTATTAATTGACATATTAGAAACGATGATAACACTATTTTAAATGAATCTGATTAGCTTTTAGCTTTTAAAATTTTAAAAAAAAATTGGCAAGTTTTTATGACTCTACAAATATTTTATCTGGAGTGTACTATCCACTAGCTGTATGGTATTTGAACGTCTTTATATCATTGCAATGGTTTTTCATAAATACAAAAATGATCTCGATTTTAGTGAAATTATATATTTTATGAAATTAAAGTTTAGAAAATATTGGGAAGACTTTGCCTATATTATTTCATTTAGCATGCATCATGGATCCCGATACAGTTTATCAGGTACTAAATATATAGTTGATCATATTTCAAAAAACTTTAACTTTTAATATACCTATTTAGAATAAAATTTATGTGAAATGTATGAATTATATGCAGAACGAATGAATGTATATATTAGTTGGGCACTCTCTGCACACACTTCTCCCGTTAATATTGAAGAAGATGAAACTGAAATATTAAATTTATTTGGTGACATTCATACATATAGATATGATGCAATAGGTTCTTCTAGTAGTAGTATGTTTGCCGCATGTAATTAGACATTGGACGTAAGTCCAAATGCATTGCTTGCTGAATCACTTAATTACTTTAATCGTGATATGTCTAGTAATGCATCAATTAAAAAAAGTTCAGAAGAAGTAATTGACTTTTGGTGAAAGAACGAACGATAATGGCTTGTGGTTTCTGCGATTGCAAAAAATCTACTAACACCTCTGGTTAACACTGTAGGTTCGGAGTCTGCTTTTAGTGCAATTAAAAGGATTTGTCTGAGGTCAAGAGTCGACTAAAAGAAGATATTCTGGAAACATTAATCCGTGTGAAGTATTGGCAAGACGCTCATTTTCGACTGTAAGATAAATATATTGAAATTGCATATTGTCAAGTAAGTGATATTTAGTCTAATCATATTAATAAAAAAAATTTATTTCATAATACCCTTTTTAATTTTTTTAAAAAAATTATACATTTAACAAGTTGTTCGAGCAGAATTTTGAATTCCGCCTACTTAAAATTTAAGTAATCAATCACAAACTCAAATAAAGGAAGACGATTTCATCTAAAAAAAGGGAGCTCGCAGGCCAAAGCTAGGTTCTACCAACGAGCTCAATGATTGAGCCAAGCTTGGCCCTCAAGGAACGAGCCGAGCTCGTGGGAGGTTCGGCTCGACCTATTGCCACTGATATATATGTCAAAAGATATTATTGAGCTGACTTAGCCCATTGCCACCGCTCCATATGTCAAAGGATATTATTGTATATTAGCAGCAATAACGCATTATATATCCCTTGCAAACCAATGCAAAAAAGAATCTGGTTTGTTTGGTTAGCAGTGTACATGAAGAGAAATAATGAGTCCTAAAATTACTTGTTTTATCTTGTCGTATTTAAGATTGTTAAAACATAGTAAAACATGTTATATCTGAGTTGGTAAACATATGAGAGTTGATATTTTTCTTGCACCATCTTGCTTGGTGCACAGCCCGGTAACATTCCATCCCCCATTTATCATTTATTGCATGGGTCTACCTGGCAACATTGTTAACTAGTGTAATCCAACCCTCAAAAGAGACAGGATCCAACTCCATTTTGCTCTTTATTAATAAAAAAAAATACTAAAGCAAATCTTGTTTGATAGTATTTTTAAGTGCTCACGTGAATAATACATGGATGATAAGTTGCTAATTCTATAAATTGGGTGTGAATAAATAGTATGTTCCATCAACTTAAATTATAATTTAAGCTTTGCCAAACATGCTCTTAATTAAGCCCCCTTCTCCCACCCCACCCTCCCCTCCCCTCCCCTCCCCACACAATCATTCAAATCTTTGGCACCATGCCACCATAAGAGTACATGGTGCGTAGCTTTCTGCCTAACATTTAGAGTGCACAGCCTCTTTAATGGACATAATGTGGTTGGCCGAGCAATTTAAGTGATAAAAAGGTCATAAAATAAGGATAAAGATGAAATGCAACCATTAGCAGCAGCCCAGCTATGATGACTTTTTGTGTATGCGTATATACAGTATCCAGTTAAGTGGGAATGTACTTTAAACGTTAAAGAGTAACGGTTGAAAACAACATTCATAGCCTTAAAAGGCTTTACCACTATCTAGACAGCAACTAATTATTTATGGTAACAGATGATTTTTAGAAGATCTAATTAGATTGATAAATATCTTCCTTTACCTGTAAACCACACTTGTAGCTCAGATCTTCATAATGCGATTTTATTGTATCTTGGATTCTCATGGGACCATTTTAAAAAAGAGGGACGATGCATGTACATACTGATGATGATCCTTACTTGAGATGATACTAAGTCCCTGTTTCGTTCATATTAAAAATTTGATTTTAATTCAAGTCAAAGTCAAACAATCAATATTAACCACATCTTTTATGGGTCCCACAACTTTTCAACCACACATTTCAAAAACTTTTACCACAATCTATTAAAAATCTAATTTTAATATCCACCAAACACCCTCTAAATGATTACGTCAATAAAGCTGATCTCATATTCAAACGTTTAATTGGATTTATCATTTCACTTCACATCCTGTGTCATATCACATGTGATGATCTCATTATTCTTAAGAGTAGTTACATACTAAGTTGAAAGATTTTATTTTTTTCCTGGAATGAATGGCAAGAAGGTGTCGTATAGAAGAGTTGTATTCCTATGCAAAATTTGTGGAGTGTTGTCACATCTTGCGAATTATCAAATAGATCCTAGCACGTCTCGAACGTTAGACACACTATATTATTTTAGCTGAATTTCTATAGCTATGGATGTTTTATAGCAGGAAACACGCTTTAGGTCATACTCGATGTTCCTGTATGGAACAAACTTGAGCTTTTCTGACTGAGTGTGGACGCATTCCCGTATTTTCTTTGACACTGACAAAACTTGGAACCCATACTAGGTAATAACTGTGTATATAACTTACATGTAACTCTGTGTTTGCGAACTTTTTGAAATGCAATGCAAAAGAATTGGAACCTGGAGTTGGACTCTCTCAAATGTCCACCTTGGCACTTTTAAATTAAAAAACTTAACAGCAACCTACTAGAAAATAGAAATTTCTTTTTTCTTTTTTCTCCATGTCACCCTAAAGAGGAAACTTCATCTTCCCTTCTTAGTCTCTGGGCCCACGACCCATTCTGTGCTATCAAGAACGTGGTCGTGCCCATGTTTGATTAGAGAATAATGTTACTCAAACAGGGTTTAAAAACAGGGGTTGTGACAGGTGACGCTTTGGCAACACTTGTGTGTAATTTTTTATTTTTTTTGTCAAACTGTCAAATAATGTTGAGCTATTTGTCCCCATATTTTTTAACACTATCATTGAGTCTATTTGTGTAGCATAATTGTTGGATCCTAATGCAGTAAAAGAAAAATCAACTTAAGAAGGCTTTAAACCCACAGAATATTCTCACAAGATCAAGATTAGTTTGAAAATACAGATTTTCGGTCATTTAATATCCAAAAGTTGATCCACCATTTAAACTTTCTCTCTATATATTCCTCCTTGTGCAACCACCTCGAGAGAAATTATATCCTAGACAAAATCCAAAACACTCAACAAATGGAGAAAATGGCCAACCCTTCATCAATAATCATTCAAGAATTCTTGAAAAATTGTCACTCAAGAAGATTGTTACTCCACGCTTCTCTTTATAGTTCACCTCCAATATCAACTGTAGCAGCACTTTCTCCATCCAATACAATATACAGGGACAATACATTCCAGGCAAATATTGGAATTGTCTTAGCAGTCGTCTTGTGTGCCTTAATTTGCTCACTTGGATTAAATTTCATCATAAGATGTGCAAAAAGGCACTCGAGTTTTGTATCCTATGATGACACCCCGTCTGCGCGCCTAGCCAATACAGGAATCAAGCAAAAAGCCCTCAAAACGTTCCCTATAATAAGTTACACATGTGATCTTAACCTTCCAGGTTTGGACACAGAATGTGCAATATGCCTCTCAGATTTCGCCACAGGAGAACGTGTTCGAGTCTTGCCTAAGTGCAACCATGGGTTCCATGTCCGTTGCATTGATGAATGGTTGAACTCACACTCTTCTTGCCCAATTTGCAGGCACTGCCTAGTTGAAACTTGCCAAAAAATAGGACGACGCAACCAGACTAGTACATCATCGGTAATCCTACCACCACATGAAGTTCTTATATGGATTGCACCTTTACAACAAGAAGGTCGTGTACGAAATCATCACACGTAGGTATATTTAGCTGATTCTATCAGACAAGATGGGATTATGGGGTTAAGTTTTTCTTCTTGTTGTATGCTTATTTTTAATTTCCTTGAGCATACACGTTGGGGCGTATTAAAATAGGATGAAAGTGCAACATTTTGCACCGAGTTTGGATTGGGATAATCTCAATATAGGCCCTTTACAAATTAGTTCTGCAAACTGTATAAAAAATTGTATATAAGAATTTCTGTTCTACTTAAATTCTCTTTAACGACTTTAGCAAGTTCATAAAACATGAATTAATGTTATCGAGCCAACTACACCAAAGTCACGTAAAACATTTCAGGGCATGTTTTCGACGGTACTTCATATCATGTAACTTCTTGACGGAATTTCTTCTTAGTTTAGTGGTTTGGTTCATGGTTTAGTCTCTTTTACTTATAGTCATAAGATCAAAAGCTATTTTAATTTGACATTGTAGTTGATATCTATTTTGAAATAAACTTGTTTGTCAGAAGGATTTTGACATTATTCTTAACATCTACTCACATGAGATGGGATCAACGTGCTCATCCCCTATTGTGATGGGGCTGTCGGGGAGGGAGCAGCATAGCAGGGTCGCTCTACTTTTTTTGGATAAAGAAGTAATTGTTGGTTAATAGTACTAAACACGAAATAATTGTACCCCATTATTTTGTTTGTTTGATTGCAACGAATTCCATAAAAAATGTCACATTCGAGAAAAATGAATTCCACTTTAACAGTTTGATTGTAACGTGAAAATAGAAACTGAATTCCAAGGTAAAACTACTTTAAACTGCATTTTCTTTGTTTTCTTTGGTGTATTTTTATTTTTCAACTAACATGGAATTAAAATTTCTTTCCACATTTGCCTCCTAATGTAAAATATGTCGTGGAATGCGGCCGTGTGATATTCTTTCAGAATGGAAGGGATTTTCTAGTTAAAAATCTCGGCTTTGATTTTTATTTGTGTTGCAGTTTTCTGCCTAATTATTTGATTTGTTCTGTTTTGCCTATTTAATTATATAATGATGGGAAAAAAGTAAGTTTATTTATGACATTGTGGTAATTCGTGTATTTGGATTATGAGCCTTTTTTTCTCCACAGCAACTCATCAAAGAGCGTTAAGAACACTGTTTAACTTACATTGTTTACTTTTTTCACTGTTTTAACTTAAAAATTTTGACTTTAAAAAGCTATAACTCAAAGTGGTAATCAAACGAGGGTACTTTTCATGAGGGTCCTTTTGATAGGCAAATGTGGAAAAGAATTCCAATTTCATGTTGTTGGAAAATAAAAACTCACCAAACCCATAGAAATTCGTTTTTTATGAAAACAAAGAAAATGCAGCTTAAAATATTTGTACTTTGAAATTCAATTTCTATTTCTACGTTGCAATTAAACGGCCAATGTGAAATTCATTTTTTTCGGATGTGGCATTTTTAATAAAAAATGTGGCAATCAAACAGGCCGTAGGGCTTAACAATGATAAACTTAGAATATCTTGTCAACAAGTTCTTTTAATATATTGTCAAGAAGAAAATGATTTTGTTGCACTGAGAAAGGGCTTAATAATGATACGCTTAGAAGAGAAGAAGTATACCAATTTTTTTGGGCAAAATTCAAAAAGTTTCTACAAGTGCGATTTAGTGATAAAGAACCAAACAATGACAACGTGGCTTTCTTTCTCCAGAAAGTGTTTGCAAATTAAAGTTAGGCAATGTTTGAAAGGCCAAATTTTCCTTAGAACTTGGAAAATAAATTCATTTTCCTTGATTTTGTCTTATTTGATGGAGCTATATTTTCCCACCCATTTCTTTTCCACTAGGCTGCTCCACGCGCCTAAATGCCT